TTTTAATTGACGAAAGACGAAACTAGGTTTCGCGTTTCGTCAGCGCGAAACCTCGAGGTTTCGTCTAACAACTATACTCAGGCTTTAATTATTGTCTGTTTTAAATTGATAAAACTGGTTTAAACTTTTTTCTTTTTTTGTTATATTCAGGAAAGCAAATAAAGTATGTAGTAGATTTCTAATCCTAAATATGAGGCTTTGTTCGGATAAGGTTAAACACGGTCATGCAAAATTTTTTTTCGAGGATTCATCGACACTCTCAACATGGGTTTGAAGTTCCCGGCATGCTAGTTCGATATAATTAATTCCAATAACACCTTGAGATTCAATTAAAACCAGATTTTTGTATAGAACTATCTTTAATATTTTTTTTTGTCGCATGTTGGTGCTGAGGCTGAGACATATTGTATGTTTCATATTTTCTTTTTGTGTACATGCGAGATTTGAGCCAGCTGGAAAACATTTCATGAATACATATGCAACATTATTTTCAGGTAGAAATTAGATAAATTAGATAAAATAGTGAATGTTTAATCAACAGACAGGCAGATTTTTACTCATGATTGTGTTTAATTGGAAGTTTTTTAGTATGCCGTTAGTCAATAAGGCTAATCATTGTTAGATCGTAAGGAATATCAAATAAGTATATAATGTGTATTTGAATAACTACAAGAATTAGATTCAGATTATTTAATCTGATGCTGCCTAAAATATGCCATGTCAGGTGCTATTCTCGCACGAAATAAATTTTTAACAAAGAAAATCTTTGTGCTGGTAATTAATTATTTATTAAACATAACCGTTTTAATGAAAATAAATAATTAATATAGGCTAAATTCTTTTTGGTAATATGCATATGTTTAAATTAATGCAGTGTATAATTATTATGTAAAATATATATTAGGGTGGTTCATCTGGTTTCTGATTTCGAAATAAATATTCTACAAATTCTATTTTTTATAATAATATAATATACCATCAGAAACATCTTATTTAATTTTCTGATTTCAGTACTTTAAAATAGAAATAGAATTTTTAAATTTCAACTTATAGTCGAAATAGTTAATTCTGAATCACCCTATTAAATAAGTTGCAAGTTATTTCTTATGAAATAAGTGAAGCTGCAGGCTTTAGGACGGTGTGAATAAAAATATCGATCGGTAATAACTAGCATTAAATTTATTATTGTAATTTAAATGAAATAAAAGATGCTGAACAACAATGAATAGCTCTCAAATACTTCGTTTAATAAATGTTTTTATCACTTACAAAATTAACATGAATAGAATTAAAATTTCTCGTCAACTATAACCTATTTTTTAATTATCTTAAAAATGCTTTTATTATAATTTTGAACAGATAGAAACCTGTCAATAAATTTAGAATATGCAAGAGGTTACTTCACGTTTTACATGATATGTGAAATACAAGCTGGATTTATTTCACTTTGAGGACATTTTTAATGCTGCTATTGTCTGATTCAATTCTTGTAGTGGCTTTTTTTTAGTAATTTAAAAAAAGTTAATATTATTAAAATATACACTAAAGTAGATATGTTAAAGGATTTTGAGTCTGAGATCAAAAATAATATTTATTGTTAATACTGAGATATCCCATTAATTACAGGCTTGTAGTTCCCCTTTAATTTGTACTCATGGATATTTGAGAGATAAAATTTCTTTTAAGCATGAATAATATACAAAGTATATTCAAAAGGAAGTAACTCTATGCCTTGAGAAATACCTATGAGTTAAAGAAACTTTGAAGAATAGCAATGCAATATGAAAAAATTACCCGATACATTTCTAGTCATTGTAAATACCAAGGTACGCTAGTCAGCAGTTTATGGTAAATCTGGAAAAGTTTTATAGTGAAAATAAATAAATCTAACAATTAAATACAGTACCTAGACAATTAACTGTACAGTTAATTATCTACAATATTGTAGTTGTCTTTTTATACATCTTTAAAGAAAATCCAAAAATCATAAAAATATTCATCCCGCAAATCGATATATCTAAATCCTTTTTTCAAAGAAGGCACTCTTCTACAGAATATAATTTAAATTTTATTACATATTAATGAACTAAAAGAATAAACAAATGTATAAATAACATACGTATCAAGTTTAAGACAATCTAAAATATAACAAAGCTTCCATGCTTCAATGGTAAAACTATAAAGCTTTACACGACCAATACTCTTATCTTCATCTTTGATCTCCCGTTTGAAACATACGTTATTTCGATAATCGAATTTGTATTTACATACATCATTATTTATGATTTCTGGAAAAATCAAGTCACCTAAATAGGCTCCAAGCTTAATTGGACTCGGGACATCTTCACTCCTTTCGACGAATGCTATAAAACTAATTTTATCATTGAGATATTCGCTGATGTTATCTTCAGGATTATCAAATAAAAATGTAAATGTCTTAGTATAATCATCATAAATTGGTGCCAAATTTTTTATCATATTTTTAATCCATTTGGTATCATTCCAACAAGTTAACTAAATAATTAAACGATGATTTTATTATATGAGTTTTCTTGAAAAAAAAAAAAAAATTAATTTACTTCAACTTTTAAACCAGAATTTAACCTAGAGGTAGCAGCTTCGTGAATTATTAAAGGAACGAATGTGTTCCACTTTTTGCAAACAATTCGAAGAGTGCAAAAATTTTGAAAACTATTACTTATTAATTAATATTATTAGATAATCAAATAAAATCCAATAAATTTTTTTTAAATATAAACTTACTTTGCTTCTATGACAACGTAGGTTAAAATCTCAATTTGTAATTCATTAGGAAGATTTTGTATCATTCTGAGTTTGGATCAAATTTCATACCGATACGTATCACGGCAATTTATAATTTTGGCTTGATCATCATTACTATCTTAGTATTAAAGCTCTGAACCGATTGGGTTACTATAATAATAGATATTAAGCAAAATGTTCAGCAACCACCCAAAAGAAAAAAAACCTTTATCATAACTCTATTTCTTAGCTTTAATTTTTAGTCCATGGTTTCCAATTTTATTCTAATTTTTAACCCTAACCTCAAGTGCTGACAGCAATAATAATAATAATGATAATAATATTTACAGTCTAATTCACTTGGGTGTCTGCATACAACAATACAATAAATTAGAGACAAAGTGTTATTATTAAAAAAGAAAAGAAAAGAAAAAGAGATGGCCATAATACAAGCCGCACGAACCAAAAAATAAACCCACAAAACAGATGATCCTCCATCCCTTATTATTATCATTAACCTAGCATACGATGATTGTTCCAGTCTAGCGATCATGCACAAGAATGTTTTATTGTTCACCAGGACCGATGGATTATAATTGCTACCAATGAAAAACATCACTGACCATAGCTCTGGGTCGGTGAAATAACCAAGCTTGCGTCATGGGTTCAATTATACTGGTCAAAAGGAAATAGCATACGAAGCTCCGAGTCCTTCCATAGGTATATTCCAGTCACAATAGCAGCAATGTTAATGAAGCATACTGTAATTGAGCTGCCTTCACATTAACAAACTATTGGACCTTCGAGCATGTAATTACACCATGCTAATACCGTAATAAGAAGTACTTCTCCCCAGAACGACAAGAAACAGAAAACTGATAATAGCCTCAATCAAATGAGCAAAATATAACAGTTAAGACATAAATAAATTATAAGAGCAAAACTAACAACAGTACACATACTTATCGAGGCGTCAAATAGCTACAAACAATCGATTCTACTGAGTAATAACTACTCAACAGCCAATAAAAGTCTAGCCAAACAACCAATATAATGACAACACAAACACACGAGCCAAGCACTCCAATCAACACATAGGCTAATCGCAGAATCAGGGGATCTGATCTTTGGACTCCTGATTCTGCCATTTTCCTATTTAACAGCCGACCTGTTTTGAGCAGGCGGGAAACCACCGGCTGATAATGCTTCTCATTCGGTTTACTGTTACAATGATACCAGGCGAAATCTCACTTGCTAATTTTTTCGGAGCATATCATCGTTTCAGTTCAAATTACTTAGCTAAAATTACTCACAATGTATTGTGCTGACTTAAAATCCTTTAATTGAATTTATTTCTGGCACCATTTGCTTGCCGGCATTTTTCCAATCACATGACCAGTCGTACCTATGCTTTACGATATTTAAAATGCCTAATAAAGTTGAACTGCACAACATTAGCATCTTGACAAAATCCTAAATCTACAAAACTGGAAAAATATCCTAATGCAACATTCCCAAGTATTATTTCTTCGATCCCATAATACTTGGTAACCTTGTTTTTAGTAAAGACATTTCTGACAACCCATTTTTCCGATAAAAATGTTCAACAATTCTTTTTTTTTTTTCGATCAAACTAATTTCCAGACAATCTGATTCCTCGACATGAAATATAATAATAGCTTTAATTTTTAATGTTTGAAGAAATGGCAGTAGCAGTTAAATAAATTATCTAGATATTTTCGGAGAAATGAGATTTTAAAATTATGTCTTGCCAGTAAAATAGATTTTCATAAAAATAGATTTCGGTAAGTTAACCCGTAACCTAAAAATAAGCACAGTCATTAATTATCTTGTTAAACGCAGTTCTCTATAGCATTAATAAATGTACCGATCTTAAAAAATGTTTGAGACTGAAGTTCAATGCAAAAAAAGATTAAATTATTTAAAGAAGTTTTTTACCCTAAAGAACAGACCAATAAACAAAAAATAATGAGAATAATTATCTAAAATTTATAGTAAATAAAAAGAAATTATTTATTTCTGTAATATAATTGGGATAATAAAAAAAAAAATTAAAATAATTAAGTTCTTGCATATTTACACATTTTTTAAAATTTTAATTTAAGTCTAAATTTGAGAATATTCCACAGTACTAATCTGTTTACTAATATATTCTAAAATTTTCTTTGCATCATATATTTTACTGGTATATATGTCTTGAGAATGGATTTGATCAATTGGTTCTGGTTTAATCTCATTAGCTTCCAAAATATGTTTTTTTGATTTCATTATCATCTTCCTGATCCATTTCATCTAACCAACGTGTGATTATTTCAATAATACCTGTTGCAGTTGGCCGTTTATCAATATCTTCATCCATACATCTCATAGCTAATTTTACATAACAATCTGGTCCTAAACATTTAGGTCTTGATCCACCGATGATCATTGATGCAAGAAAATTATCAAATGAAATTCCATCAAATGCTTTTTGTCCGGTCGAAATCTCTGCCGCAATAACTCCAAGACTGTAAATATCTGATGCTTGTGTGCACGGTTGACCCACCAAAACCTCTGGTGCTATATATGGTAGAATTCCACAAATTTTTCCTTCCGTCACTTTTCTTGAAAGTCCAAGATCTGTGATATATGCGTTTTTCAGGCTATATCCTTGCAAAATATTTCCGCTGTGTAAATCTCTATGAATGAGTTCTTGAGAATGAATTGACTCAAGATCTAAAGCTATATAGTACAAAATATTCAATTTATCTTTCCATTCAAATTGTGATACTTGTACAAGATTTTGCCGTAACGATCCTTTTAGTGCATTATGCATAACAATAATATAATCACCATATTCATTTCTTGACATTCCCTTACATTCCAAGAACGAAGGATTCTTGTAACCGATTTCACAATAATTCTTCAATTCGTGGATAAATTCTTTCTCGTTTTCGTTTGAATCACGAATCACTTTAAGTGCACCACTATGCCACACGCTATTAATTCTATCAAGCCAACGTGCATAATATACAGTTGCAAATCCTCCTTTTCCTATTTCTTCAATATCTCTGAATTCATCATAATTAATCCAAGATAGTTTAAATCTTTCATCGTCTAATATTTTTTTAAGTTCAGGATTGATATGATATGGTGATTTATTAGTTTTCAAAAGACTTCTATACTTTATATACCAATAATTTGCACTCTGAATATCTCTCTTCGTACCGATTCCGTTTCGATAATATAATGCAACATTACTCATTGCTACATAAATACCCATATTAGCAGATTTTTTGTAGTATTCAAATGCTTTATTATAATCTCGATCAATCCCACATCCATTTCCATAATAACTACCAACATTACATATTGCACCAGCATGTTCTAAATCAGCCGATCTCTTGAAATATTCAAATGCTTCTTGGTAATTTATTTCTACCCCAATTCCATTATAATAACAAAGACCAACATGAACCATCGCATCCGAATTTCCTAAATCAGTTGCTTTCAAATAGTATTCAAACGCTTTCTTTTCGTCTTTCTTAACACCGATACCATCTTCATAATCGATACCAAGATTACGGAGTTGTTCAGAATTCATTTGTTTTTAAAGAAAAAAAATCATGTCCTAACTAAAATACAAACTTTAACTATCCAGAGCGTAGCGGAGGACATTTAATGTTTATTTAAAGTGATACAATGTTACATCAATAGTTACGCTGTCAGACCCGAAATCGGCGAGTCTGTCGCTAAATCGAAAGAAGGTCCGTGTAAACAAAACCTAGGTTACTTTAGGTCGAAAGAGGCGTGTTAGATTTGGTCGAGTGGTTAATAAACGAATGTATGTAGTTTATTGTTTATGTTTATATGACTTAGGTATTTTATTATTAAGTAAATCGGGTCTTTACTATCTTCCCGAAGGGCCAACAGGCCTTTATTTATAATTAACTCATTGTCTATTTTTACATTCAGAATACGCCGTTTTCCCAGAATTCCCCATATTACTGTAATTATTTTAATTATTGAAATTCGCCTTATTTCCGTTATTCGCCTAATTCTGGAAATTCACCGAATTTCCCTAATTCTCGTAATTCCAGGAATTCCTGGAATTCCGCCGGTAACCCCAATTTGGAGATCCCGGGTCACGAAGGCATGTGCCTGCCGTCAGGTCACGTTTCCGGTCTCACAACGCTATTGATAATTCATTAGTTGACTTATATAAGCCGCATATTTGTATTTAGTGTAACAAATCCTAAAGTTTATTAAAGAAATCGTAGCCCATTCAAAATATTCAACAATTTTTG